TACAAGATCCACACATGTTTATAAAATAAATTAATTTACTTCATAATTAAGCTAGCCGTAGACTTATAAGGTCATATGCTGTACTATATTTTTTTATTGGTTTATATAAGTTGGTTTATGATATGTTCTGTACATAAGTATAACCCAGGGACGTGAAGGAGTTAAACCTTATATTTATGATCTGCAATCAAAATACATAGTATTTTGTAAGATATTCGTTCTATAAGATTATAGAGAATTTTGTAAACCTTTTAAGCTCAATATAATTATTGATTATCAGATGTACGCTTATTAGCAGGTGTACTAAAATTATCATTTGACATAGAACTGTCCATAAAGCTACGTTTAGTTGTACCAGATGAACCAGACACAGAAAAATCACCGTTAGCTAATTTTGTTTTTAGTATGCTATGCATTCTCATTTCACTAGATAAATTGGTATTGCAATCATTTAGTGCAGAGATAGCCTCATGGTACTCCCTCGTTCATAGCTCTTCATGACCGTTTTCTATATACATAGGTCTTTTAGATACTACTTCATCCAAATCTTGTCTAGCACCTTCAACTTGTTCCCTACAGTAACTTAATTTACCTTCTATTTTAACAAGTCTTTCCTGTAATTTTGAACGCTCATCTGTAACTAAAGCACCAGAACTACCAGTTGGTCCAGAACTACCTATACCTGGTTCATTAGGAGCTTGCATAGGACTATACCCAGCTGGGTTAATACCAACAGGTAAAGAACCACTTCCAGCTGTGGGGTTAGAGACTGCCCTATTACCACCACAATGATACGTTAGGAAAGTATTTTCTTTAAGAAATTCATTAATTACAAAACGAATACCACCTAAAGAGCAGAAATAACTAAAGCTAGGTATTAAGTTATCTAGATTAGAAAAAACGTCGTATTCTAAATAATTCAAAAGAATAAGTCTTACACCGTATCCCAGCGCAGCAGTAATAATACTACTAACTAAACCAATAAGAATATTTCTATTAATGGTAACTATACCACTTTGCAATGGTATAGAAGAAAATGCGTGAGGTTTAGGTAAATAAGGTGATTTTAATTGTCATATGACACTTTGAACAACGGGTATAAAAATTTTAGTTCCTACTGAGTATAAATATACAAATAGTGCATTTAGTAGATAGAATGCACAAATATCTTTAGCATTTGAAGATAAGAATCATCTTTCAANTCACATACTAATCCCTGATGTTTTTATAGTAAGGTTATTGTATTTATTATTTTTAGATAATATAACTTTGCTTGTAGAAAAGCTATTAATAGATG